GAGAGCCTCTCCAGTAAGGGCTGCCCACTTCAGCTAGTAAAAGAACAGGCTGCCCAGTTAAATGTTCATTTCAGCTAAACAGCGAACATATTTTTTCACTATCAGTATGCCCTGTGAAGTATTTGGGACATACTTTTACTAAAATAATTACTCACTGTTTATCTGAAATTCAAATTTAATTGAGCATCTTACATTTTATCCTGCAGCTCGTTTCCTCCGAGGACTCCAGGAAGGCCCCTGTACCTGCACATCGGATGCATCCAGCTGGGCTGAAACGGAGGCCAGGGATGCGGGTCCAGCCTCACTAAGAGGCCAATGGGCAATCCAGAGGCAATGGGGAAAGCAGAGGAGACACGGGAATCTGTGGACGAGCCGGCCTAGTGCAGGGTTCTTCATGCGACCCAGGCTTTTTGCCAGCAGCTGCACTGAGCAGGTGCCCATACAACATAATGCGATACTAAGAGCACAGACTTTAAAGTCACATGTCCTGCCCAGCCAGTGTGGCTCAGTGGTTGAGCATGGACCTATGAACCAAGAGATTGAGGTTCGATTCCCCGTCAGGGCACATGCCTGGGGTTGGGGGCTCGATCCTCAGTTGGGGGCCTGCAGGAAGCAGCCGATCAATGACTCTCTCATCATGGATGTTTCTGTCTCTCTCTCCCTCTCCCTTCCTCTCTCTGAAATCAATAAAAATATATTTAAAAAATATATAAAGTCACATGTCCTGAGGTTCGATTCCTTGTTCTAGCTCACACAGGATTTGTAACCCAGGAAGAATTACTTAACCTCTCCTTATATAAAGTTAGGATAATTATGTCAGCTTCCCAACAGCTTTGTTGATATGTTGCATCTTGTTTGAAACTTGGCCAGAGTTAACAACAATAGGCTATTGTTATTAATTATTATTAGCCCTAATCCTGATTGCATGGCTGTCACTCCCTCCTCTGGGACAACCCAAGGTAGAACAGAACAGGATAGGACAGTACAGAACAGAATAAGTCTGCCATTTATTTTCACTTGGTACGTACAAGGCAAACGGTATTAACCGTTTGCATGTATTTTCAGAACCAATCTCATAACAACTCATAGAGATGGCATTATTTCTATTTTGTAGACATTGGATCTAATGCATACGGGAAATAGAAAATATGTCTAAGGTTGCAGGGTCACACAACTTGTAAGTGACAAATCTGAAACTCAAACCCAGTTCTTTTTAAAAAATTTTTCCTTTTTATTTAATTTATTGGGGTGATACCGGTTAACAATATTATACAGGTTTCAGGTGCATGATTCTACAACACATCACCTGTACACTGTATTGTGTGCTCACCACCCCAAGTCAGGTCTCTGTCCATCACCATTTATCCCCCATACCCTCCTCCACCTTCCCTATGGCCCCTCTCCCCGGCAATCGCCACACTGTTGTCCACATCCATGAGTTTTTTCTATTTTTTTTTTTTCTCAGTCCCTCCACCACTCCAGCCAGGCCCCACACCAAAGCTGTCAGTCTGCTCTCAGTCTACGAGGCTGTCACAGTTCTGTTTGATCCCAACATCCATGCTGTTAACCATGACACACACTTCAAAATCTCTCTGTGCAATTTCCAACCCAGCTTGTAATCCTTTCTTACCCTAAGAAGGGACTCTGGTGACTTTCAGTTACTCATGGAAATTATCATATGAGTCAAAGCGGCCCATATTCCTTTCATTCTCATATGTTCTCAATGACCTAGAATGGTGCTCTGGAAGAAGGCCCTCACTTCCCTCCCCAGCTTTCTTCATCTGTCTTCATCTAGTTTCTCCTCTACATAAATCAAATTCATTTGCTTATGCCAATGTAGGGTGAGTCATAGCTTCTTAACTTCTATTAACGTGGCATACATTAAAGGTCTTTTAAATTTTTCAAGGGTGTGGAGAAAAGGGAACCCTGGTGCACTGCTGGTGGGAACGCAGATGGGTGCAGCCCCTATGGAAAACAGTATGGAGGTTCCTCAAAAAATTAGAAATGGAGCTGCCTTTTGACCCAGTGATCCCACTTCTAGGAATGTATCCTAAGAAACCTGAAATGCCAATCACAAAGAACTTATGCACCCCTATGTTCACAGCAGCACAGTTTACAATAGCAAGATCTGGAAACAGCCCAAGTGCCCATCAGTAGATGAGTGGATAAAAAAGCTGTGGGACATTTACACCATGGAATACTACGCAGCTGTAAGAAAGAAGGATCTCTTACCCTTTAGGACAGCTTGAAGGGACATGGAGAGTATTATTCTAAGTGAAATAAGCCAGGCAGAGAAAGACAAGTATCACATGATCTCATGTATATGTGGACTCTAATGAACAAAATAAATTGAGGAACAAAATAGGTCCAGAGACATGGAAGCATGGAACAGACTGAAGGATCTCAGAGGGAAGGCGGGGGTAAGGAGGTGGGAAGTAATTAACCAAAGAGCTTATATGCATGTATGAATGACCCATGGACACAGACAATAGTGTGGAGAAGGCCTGGGGGCATGGAGTGGGGTGTAAGGAGTCAATGGGGGTAGGGGAAGTGGGACATCTATAATACTTTCAACAATATAAATTTTAAAAAACTCATTGCTATGGCCTATATCCTTAAGATAGTGCAGATAAGTAGGCAGGAAATTATAATGGGCCCCATTTTTACAGATGAGGAAAATGAGACTTAGAGTGGTATGAGTCATTTGCCAGAGCCACACAGATAAGAACTGATAGAGCTACTACATGAGTCCAGACTTCTCTTCTCAAACTTATTCATTAATTCATCTATTGTGCAGTATTTGTTGGGTATTTTTTGTGTGTGAGGCACTATCCTAGAAACAAGAGCTGTCTCCATGAACAACATAACCAGAATCCCTCCATCCTGGATTTTTACATCTTTGGGAAGAGAGACATTAGACAATCAAACAAAAAATAATATTTAAGTGTCAATTAGGAAGAATACAGAATGTGGAAAAGATATAACAGAAGGATCTGAGTTGAATTAATAGATCACAGAAGTTTTCACCAAAAAAGAGAGGCACTTTAGCTGAAATCTAAAAGTAAAATAATAATCCAAGGGACAAGAAGAGAACATGGCAGAGAAAGCCGGATGTCAGGCAGGGCAGGTATTTATTTAATCGGGTCACCAGTGAGTGGTGGCACTGACAGCAAAAGAAGCCAGCTACCCTTACCCTCCAGATGGTGCTATTTCCCTGACACCAGACCACCTAGAGCAACTGATTCAGAACTAACCCGCATGCCCCCTCCAGCTGATACCCTTGAGAAACCAGCAGGCCTCTCTCAGAGGTTATAATATCCAGAGTTTTGCCTGCCTGCCCAGTGTTCTTATAGCGAATTAGAAAAAGATGCCTCCTCTAGGCTGGTTAAACCCTGAGGGCTCAAAGCTTGTGCAAAGTATAAAGTACTGCTACTTTTTCCCAGTACCTTGTGATTAAGCCACAAGTCAGGGTCCATGGCAGATAGAGGACACTGGAATGTTTTTTCCACTAGTGCCTTGGTCATGAGCAGTGCTCAGTTCTAAGGGGCCCTGATGGCATCTCTCTAACTCGCTGGAAGCTTCCTACCATGGACCACTATCTCCAGATCACTACTCTTTAGGAGAGACCAGATCAGAGTCTTCTTGAGAAGACAAAATGGAGAGACCTGGAAGGATCCAAGCAGAGCTGCTTGATGGCTTTCAAGTGAAGTTTGGTGCCTTGGAGAGAGTAGGAAACCGGGAGCAAGAGGGCCACGTTCTAGCCTTGGCTCTGTGACACTAGACGAGCCTCCCTTTTCCAGACCTCAGTTAATTTCACATTTATTAAAAGGGCCCTCTGGCAGTCACAGTGTGTAAGTTTTGGTCAAACTGTAAGTTTAGAGACCCCCATGTCCTCATCTCAATGAACTGAATTACAGCATTTCTCAAGATAACCGGTATCTAGGCTTGAACAAATACCCTCCCCTTGAGTGTCCATTTCCAAAAGGAAGGGCATCTTACATCTGAAATACATAGCAGCATCTCAAACCCATGATAAAATTTCTTTTTATCATGAGCAATAATTTTATTACTCTTATATTTTTAATGTTTGCTATATGCCTTGAGCGATGTGCATTCAACTCTGAAAAAGATCGTCTTGCCCTCAAGGAGCCTACAGCCAATTGGTGGAGACATAAAATCAGGCACCTGTTGGGCACAGGAGAGAAACACCTAGTTCTTCTTGGAAAAACCAAAACAAGCTTCAAGGAAGTCAACGCTGAGGCCAATGCCAAGCACAATATTAGGCCCCTTGAGGATTCAGGAGCGAATAGCACAGTCTCTTAGGAGAGATCTGCAGGCTGAATGAGAAGAGAGATACTAGAGCCCTTAGAGCTCAAACAATAGTCCAAGGGCTCTAGAAGGCAAGTGATACAACAGCTAACTCTCTGGAGTGGGGGGAAGGGTCATCATAAAGGTTCAGGGAGAAGTGGGGCACCTGAACCAGAGCCCGGCGGGCAGTAGGACTACTCCAAGCAGGGAGGATGAGGAATATATCCCAGGGAGGACAAAGAGCGTGAACGAAGGCATGGGCTGTGAGTGGACATGCCACGTGTGGACAAGCAATTAGCTCTGAGCGTGGGCAAAGAAGCAGAGCGCGCAGGGATGGAACAGGCACACCTCGCCAATCTGATCTAATACTTGCTCCTTGTGCTAAATAATAATTGTGCCCGATACCCATCTAATTGTCAGTGTTGACATAGGAACTACCTCCAAAAGAGATATTGCAATGCCATTGATAAATACACACTAGAAAACCCAAGAGGGCTTTTCTTTGCCCACATGAAAAACTTTAGGTTTGAAAGAGAGGGCAGGGCTCATTAGAGCCACCAGCAAGCTGCGGACGTCTTGTGCAACAGCCTGAATTCCACAGCAGGTATGTCACCTGGGAATGCCTTATAAACGGAAGGAGGCTACAGACGCACTGGAGCGCTTTATCCACACCAATGCCCAGCGCTGCGAGCATGGCCGTCTCCGTGCTTCGGGTGACAATCGTCCTGGGACTGCTTGCCTTGATCCTGACCTGCCATGCGGGTAAGTGCTTCTAGTCGCAGCTCCTGCAGTGTGCAGCAGTTAGATGCGATTGCAGGGAGTTGGTGGCACTGATCCAGACCACAAAGGGCAGGGACGGGGAGGGACCTTTACGTACTGAACTAGGAGACTAGAGGCAGATCTTCTAGCAAAAAGAAAGTAGGGCCCTGGCCAGTGAGGCTCAGTGGTTGGAGCATCAGCAGGTTTGATTTCCGGTCAAGGGCACGTACCTGGGTTGCAGGTTCCTTCCCTGGCCCAAGTCAGGGGCCGTGTGTGAGGCAACCAATCAATGTGCCTCTCTCACATCAATGTTTCTCTCACTCTCTCTCCCCCCTCTGTCCCTTCCATTCTCTCTAAAAATCAATGGAAAAAATATCTTTGGGTGAGTATTAACAAATAACAAAATCAAGAAAGTAAGATTTTTATTCAATGTGCTTCAGTTACAGCCCCTCTTCAGTAAATGTATGAAGTTTGTAACAATTGCTTTCTTATATATTCATGTGACATAGTGACACTATTGTGTTATAAATTAGGAGAGCCTGGTGTTTATTTTTTGATGATTACAACTAATAATGTTTAAAGGTGAAAAGTATAAACTCTGGAATGAGGCTCCTAAGCCTGATTTCATGAAAATCAGAAATGAGACTTTAAGCATTTTATTTAACTTCTCTGGGCCTTGCATGTAAAATAAAATGTCAATTATTAACTGTCTCCTAAATGTATCAGGAAAAGTAAATAAAAGAGACCAAAAGTGGAAAAGTATTTGGACCATAAAAAGCACTAGTAAATATAAACTGCTATTGTGACAATGTATTATCTCACTTAATTTTCATCACACCCCTTTAAGGCACGCATGCACAGCTTGATCACTTCCCTTTTTGCAGGTTAGTAAACTGGGTTTGCAAAAGGAACGTTGCTTGGGCACAGGCACTGGTAGCAATGGCACACCTGGGACTAAAACCCAAGTCCCTCGGTTCTTTCCTTATAACTAAGCATCTACTTCTTTCATGTCCATTTCAAGCACATAGGGGACCACATGCAGAATTCTCAGTAATTAATTTTAATTTCTTTTCAGTCTGTAGAAGACGGTGAGCTCTATTCAGAATGGTCACAAAACACAGACAGTGCAAATATTGCCCTTGAAACTGTTCTAAATGTCACTTGGCAGAACTCACACCATCAGCCCCCCACTGTCCACGGCAGGACACACAGGCAGACACTCCAACAGAATTACAGTAGAGATGGCCTCAGAGACCACTGTATCCATCCGCTCCCAAAGCAACCCCCCATTAAGCGAAAGGTGCGATCGCTATCCTAAAGACCCGTCCCAGCTCTGTCTCTCAGGAACTCTGAAACTGGTTAAATCACTTCGCTGCTTTGAACCTCAGTGTCTTCATCTGTAAGATGGGGTAACTATAAACTTCACCAGATCAAATGAACATGCTTTTGTAATCTCTTCTAAGTTTTTATTTAAAACTGTACAAATATCAGTATTCCTGTATCTTTTTAGAACTTTATGATTACATTGACTAAGAAACTCAACCAGGTAGTTAATGTAAATAAGAACTATCCCATATTTGAAAAGAGAAAATATTCAACTATGGCTTTGATCATTTGTTTCTAGTATATCACATTTCTTAATTTTATTGTTATTGTTATTTGCTTTTGTTTTGCTTTCCAACATTTTCAAATTTCTTAATATTTTAACAACATTTTGTAATTTTCATAATCTCTAAAAACACTAAAGGAGCTACTGTGAGTCATTTTATTGTTATTATTAATAATAATAGTAATAATAATACAGCAAGCATTTATTGTGGTCTTACCTTGGGCCTGGTATGTGATAGTGGTATATATATACGATCTGCTATATGTACATATGCACACATATATATGCATACATATACAACATACGTGAAAGATATATGAAACATCTTTTAATCCTGACAATAACATAATTAGGAAACTGAGAGTGTGGTTAAGTGCTGTGTGCAAGGGTACATGGCTAATTTTTTGAACACATGAATCAAACTCAGGTAGGTAGGACCCCAAAACATATGACCCACCAGACCCTAATACTGCTCAGTATGTACTTGGTCCAAGGACTGGGGCCAAGGATCTGATCTCCAACCCAGGGCTCCTTGCATACTGAGACGCTACCACTTAGTGTCATATTAAAATAAAAAGTCTGGTTTTGCAAATAAGCAGATAGAACACAGAAAAAAGAATTCAGTTTTCATGCAGGGAATCTGTTTTGCACCTGGGGAATGTCTTCAGAGGATAACTGCTTGAAGGCTGTATTATATGATACAAGTAACAAGGTCTGTGAAGTTAAAAATAAATTAGGTCAAAACCTGGCTCAGCCACTTTCTAGATGTGTGATTTTAGGTGAGTCATTGAATTTCTCTGAGTGTCTTGTTTTCTCTCCTGTAAAACTGTATCATCATCATGGACCTGAATAAGGACCGAGGCATGCTGTGAAAGCACCATCCCAGCGCCTGCACATAGGCACACTCTCCTTCCCTGCCTGTGGTAAAAACAAAGCTTTCTGCTCACTGTGGTTGCCCTGCACTTTATGTGAGGGGCGCGTCCATATATGGCCACTTTTACTTTAACTCTTAGCATACGCTTTGTACATAATAGTAGGCTCAAAAAAATCCTTACTGAACAGCAACAACAACAAAAATCCACAGCAACAGCTGAATGAATGGATACTTGGTGATTAGTATATTAATTCTGGTGATATGTCCCAGACGGGTGCTCCTATCCAATCTTTTGTTGTGGCATAGTAAGCAATACATCTTTGTAGAACTAGAAGGCATATCTTTTTTTTATTTTTTAATATGTCTTTATTGACTCCAGAGAGAGGAAAGGAGAGAGAGAGAGAGAGAGATAGAAACATCAATGATGAGTCATTGATCAGCCGCCTCCTGCACGCCCCCTTCCAGGGATCAACCCTGAACCCGGGTATGTGCCGACCTGGAATCAAACCTCCATCTCCTGGATCACAGGCCTATGCTCAACCACTGAGCCACGCCGGTCAGGCTGGAATCCATATCTATTCACTAAAAGTTTCTATTTTAGGATATAATATAGATGCAAGGCTTCTGGCATAATCTGATAGCCTCCACACAAAAAGCCAGTTATAGCTCCTTCATTCAGAATCCCGGGGGATATTGTCTAGAAGTTGGGACTTCTTGAGTCAAAACTTGTGGGGTTGCAGATAAAATATAAGACACCCAGTTAAATTTGAATTTCGGATAAACAATGAATAATTGTTTCATTTAAGTGTGTCCTAAATATTGCATGGGTCATTCTTATGCTAAAAACTATTGCTTATCTGAAATTCAACTTTAACTGGGCATCCTGTGTTTTTATTTATCGAGTCTGCCAGCAGTACTTGTGACGCTATAATAAAGCAAAAAGATACAGGTCCTACTCCATCCTGGCACCAGGGTCCAGTGGGGAGGCCACGTGTAGCTGCCAATTGCCCCTCTTTCATCCTTTCTAATCTCCTGAACATTTAGCCTTCTAAGTAAAACCAACCCCCACCACCACCACCAAGGGAACTTGCAGGTCACCAACCTCCAACCTCACTCTCTAGATCCTTGGCCTCACTCTAAAGGGCACTTAATTAAGAGTCAAGAGTGAGAGGCCCCCAGTTACAGTTTCATCTTCTCTTGCCATTCGTGAGTTTTCTGCAAGTCACCTAATCTTTCCAGTTTCTTGGTCCAGTGAACAAAAATATGCATGCCCTATAAGATTGATCGAGGGTACAATCACACAGCTTTTATAAAACCATTATTTTCAGAACTGTCAGATCATGTACAAGGGATAGAATTTCTCCTCGCCATCATTATTATCACACCACTTTCAATCGTGTAACACATTTGTGGTTAGATCACAACTTTTCTGTCAAAGACCATGCAGTTCATCACTGAGTGCTTAAGAATCCAGACTTGGAAACCAGACAGACGCGAGGTCGCATTCTGTTTCTGCCACTTACCGACACCGTGCCTTTGAATCAGCTTCTAAACCTGTCTCAAATCCCATTTCTTTACCTCTAATCGGGATAAGGATTCTGCCTACCTCATAGGTTTGTTGTGGGAATAAAATGAGATAATGCATGTGGATTTCCTGTCATAGGCATGTGGTCAACAAAGGCTACTCATTAGTATTTCATCTTCATTATCATCATGAGCACGGGCCCAGGGATCACATGGAGGAAGAGACCATGTAACTGAAATGCAACCAGGCATTCTGATTTCAGCCCTGGCATGGGCATATGCCAGCTGCTTAACTCTGGCCAAGTTACTTAACCTCCATGAGCCTCAGGGTTCTCATTCAGGAAGGGGAACAGCATCTACCAAAAGACTGATGGCCGTGGGTCTGTCTGATTGTCTTTAGGGATAAGGGATATCATGTATGTGAAGACTTTTACTGGGCAGGCATTAAATGTTGAATAAATGCAACTATAAGATGCTCCTAAGTTAGTTCGTGGAGGTACGATGGGTGCTAGGGGCTCCCCACAAAGAAGAAAGACATTCCTGACTTGTTTTTTAGGTGGCAAACCAGATGACAAGCCGGATAAGCCAGATGACTCAGGCAAGAAACCAGTGCCAGACATGCCAACATTCCTAAACCTGTTGGGCACGGAGATCATCGAGAACGCGGTGGAGTTTGTGCTCCGCTCCATGGGGAGGAACTTGTAAGCACCCACGGGCCTGCTCTGGCCCAGTCGTGGCTGGCAGGTGGCCGCGCTGCATTAAAACAAATGCGAACTGAACTTGTGGTGCATGCCAATGCATTCTTTAAATTGAAAAGCGTTGCCCTACCTTAAGTCCTGTTTGCACCTGAATGAATTTCCCTGGCCCCTTTGGGGTGAGCACATTCCCATCAGGTGGTTCCGTAAACATGCTTTTTATCTCAGGGCCAAGTAAGGGGAAGGGCACCAGGCAAGAGGCAAAGCCAGGCTTGGCATTGAAACGGGTGCTGTGTCACTGAGGGATCCCTGGTGAGGCGCTCCCTCTGGCCGGGCCTCAGTTTCCTTACCTGTAAAGATGAAGGAATAAAGGGCCCACCCTGCCCAGTGCAGACGCTGCAATTCTTTGGTAAAGGTGGTGGTAATGGTGTGCTCAATAGCTACAGTCGTGATGAGTCCTGCCCTTATTTTCTAGTTGGAGTAACTCAGAAGGATTAGGGACAGTAGCTAATCTCTCCTCATAGACAATCTATATGAGAGTTTTGATCATGAGGGGTTGCGCTGGTGGCAGATCATAGCCCCCCAAAATCTTCCCAATGTTCTCACTCCACTTCCAAGCCCCTGGCCCAACTCCTCAGACATCTTACTTGAGTCTACATAGCTCTAGCTTTTACTTCTGCTTCACCCTGTTCATTCTCCCCATGTTAGTCTCCCCAAGATGGGCTCTCCAGGGTCCAATTCATTCTGAATTTCCAGGTACTTTCAATCTCCACCTCTCTGAGCCTCTGCTCCCCAATTCTCTTCTTCATAGACCCCTAAGCAGAGTTTGGAAAACTCATCTATTATCCAGCTGCTTGACATTTCCCTGGAGAACTTACACAAAATGCAGGTGCCTTCATTCCATCCTGCACCTTTCCTGGGACAAGGCTAAGGAAATGCTTTCTAACGAGATTTCAGGTGATTCTGAAAAAAAAAAAAATGTTGAAAGCTCCTGATTAGATGTTCTGGGCCCCATGGGTGGGTGTTAAAGAGCCACGTAGCCTTTAAAGTTTTATTCATATTTTGTGTAAATGTGGCTATTTGCAGTTTTCTAGGAAAACACCGGCTAACTTTTTATTAGTTTCTGCAAGAGGTCTATGACCAAAAACAGATTAAGAACCACTCTTGTACTGAAGTAATCGGGGTCATTTTGTAATCTGTGCTCTACTTAAATCAACATACTACCAGATGGACAGGCAGAATTCTGCATACAATTATCTTGCAAGAACGTGGACACTTACAGATGTGTATTTCCGTACTGTTCTTTTCTCTGTTGTGGCTGCTTTGGCAATGGTTGTGTCCTCAGGATCGTTAACATCCTTAACTGGCAGGCAAACAATAAGAGTAACACCCATTATGTGCAAAGTACAGATTGGAATCCAGTTGAATTCATATTTTTATAAATCACAACAATAGCAATATGAGGGGTTGGAACAATAATAGTTCTTTTTATTCCTTCCCTGGGGAATTCCCTAGATATAAAATAGCATTTTTTCCCCTCTGTTAACCCTGAAAGTCAACTGCCTGAAACACTAAAGGACTGCGGCTGACTCTGGGTGCAGAAATGGTACCTAATCTCCTGCTATTCTATTTCTTTCATTATGTTCTGAGTAAATGATGCTCTTTCTGTTCCTGGAACTTAAACATTTCGGGCTCTTTGTCCCTGCTTTCATTTCTGCCTAAAATGCCCTTTCCTTTTCTCATGGCCAGTTCTTTGTCCTGAAGCTCATCTAAGTCACCTCCTCAGAAAATTATCCTATAACCACTCTTATTAACACTGCCTTCTTTCATTGCCTGGTTATTTGCTATCAGTTTATCTTGCCATAGTGTCACTATAACATATAGCAACGTCTCAAATAAGTTGTTTATTTTTAATATGAAATATGAAATATTGTTCATGTGAAAGTAGAGATCAGATCTACCTAGCTCATTGCTATAGCACAGTACCTTGCCCTCTGTCCAGCGGAAGGCCGTAAATATAATGGGGAATGGGGGAGAAGTATTTCTAAGCACTTAATATGTACAAAGTAGGGGCAGGAATAGCGAAGGGAAAATCTAGACTCTAAACCCCTTCTCCTCAAAGAATTTGTGGTTTTTATGGTAAGATGACATGAGCAAAAGCAATGGTAATTACCATGCTAAAAAAGATAAATGTCAGCCAGATATTGCAGGTAATTTCTGGAGAAAGGAGCTGTCACTGGGGCCAGGGTGCTTAGGGGAGTGTTTATGGTGAAGGTGAGATGCAATCTGGGCCTTAAAGGCCTCAAAGAGATTTGATTAGACAGAATGACAGGAGCGGTGAAAACTCTGCTTTATTTACTCCAATATATCTGACGCGTAAGTACTGTGTCAGGCACATGAAAAATGCCTTTAGGACAGCATAGCTGCCTCCCTCCACCTGCTCCCTCCACCTGCCTCTGGATTACCTTAGAGCTACGGAAACTGGATTCTGGTCACCTTTGAGCAGCCTTCATTTCTTGTGGATTTCCCCCTTCCCGGGGTTTCCATGATACATTTGCCGGGTTCTCGCCCTGCCTCTAGCCATTCTTTCTCAGTCTCTTTTCCTGGCTTTTCTTCAGGCATCTGCCCCTCAAACATCATTGCTCCTCAAGGCTCCAGATGTAACCTACCTGGTGTTTCCCATCACAACTTCCACATTGAGAGTATTACCTATAATCGAGTGAGTTCCAAACTTAGGCATCTATTGCACCCTTTTTCCTAAGCTACAGGCTAAAATGATAATTGTTTGTTACAAAACCCCACCTAGGTATTCCATCAATACCTCACACTGATGTAAACGCAACACCTTCAACTGATCTAAACGCAGGCCCATCAGCTCACTTACATACCCACTCCTCCTCCGTGTCCCTATCTCAGTCAGTCACATCCCCTCTCACCCCAAATCCAGAAACCTCAGGGCCTCCGAGGATCCTTCCTGCTCATCACTGCCTTCATTCAGTTTTGAATATTCTACTCCTAGCTTTGTTTCCTACGCCATGCCTCTTCTTCAACTCCACTGACCTGTTGGCCTGGTCAAGTCTTTCATCATCTCTTTCCTGCGACATCTTAATGAGCTTTGCAATCCGTTTCACGCTTTTGGTCTACAGCAACTCCAGTTCAGCCCCTGCCTCCTACCAGAGTGACATAACAAAACACATATGTGGTCCTACACTGCCGTGCTCAAACCCCTTTCGTGAACTTCCTTTGCCTACAAAATCAGAGCAAATGCATTCCGCCGATGTGAAAGGTCCTGACCTGATGCTAACACATCCTTCGATCGTCTCTCTCACGCCTGCAGCCAAGCACCTGAGGCCCTAATGACAAATGAGTTCTGTTTCAGGGCAAGTCGTGTTTGTATAAACTGCCAGGGCCCTGGCGCATGCTTATCTCTCTGCCAGCAACGCCGGACCCCCCAACCCCAACTCCACACTCTTCACCTGACAAGTCTAATCATTTTCTAAAGTCTAATTCAAAGACAAGCTCTCTGGAGACACCACAGACCTCTACAATTTAAAAACTCGGGCACTCCGGGATTTCATAATGCTTTGTAGAAACCTGCGAAACAGCTCCTCCCACCCTCAGTTTAAATTGCTTGTATCTCAATGTGTGTTTTCTCCGCCAGACTATGACCTCCTCACAGACCATGCTTAAGTCATCTTTTACCTTCTCGGCAGCTTTCCCGTGCCCAACCCATGCACAGGAGGCGACAGTGATTCGGGCATTAATTCATGATTCTGGAGTCTGAGTTTTAGACTTGGCTTTGTACTTTACCAGCCAGGCTAAAATGATAATTGTTGAATCTCTTTGAGCTTAAGAGATTTTTTCATATGTAAAAAGAGATGAAAAGATCATTCATTTTGCCATTCAATAAATATTTATTAGTTTATACTATAGGCTAGGCATTGTTCTGGGTGCTGGGGGTATAGTACTGAACAAATATATCAAAATATATGTGTGTACAGAGTATATATATATAAGTAGACAACCTAATTAAAAGAGTTGTTTGTAACTTTAAAGAGATAATTATGCATAAATAGTTTTTCAACTATGAACAATTATAGAAATCTTAGAGCTTATTTCTTTCTGATATAGGAAAATCGGGGGG